ACTGTCCCGAACGCCCAGCAGCTTCCACAAGCCGACTGATCCTGCAAAAAAGGATGTTAGCGTCGATAAGACGATTCTCTGGGGCGAAAGTATATCAGCTACCTCACGTGGCCAATGACGTCCTTGCACTCCTTGAACGCATCGCGGGCATCGAAGCTGTCTGGAATGTCAACAAGCTCCTCCGGTGGATAGACCTTCTCCTCGAGCTCTTCAGTCCCGTTAAGGAATGTCCCGCAAAGCTTCTTAGCATCACCGAGGGAACTACCTGAAGGTGACAGACGACAGGCCTATAATAGAATAGCATTAGTTCACACAGCTCCCGATGGTGCCCTGACCAGCCTACCGTAGAATCTCCCTTGTTCAGTGGACGCCGTCCATAGATTCTGTTTAGAGTTGACCTCGTCTACGAGACTTTGCATGATAGCTGGTTTTGTCTCCTCGTACAGCTCTGCCAGCTCATCGGAAGACAACGGCACAGGCCTGGCTTGTAGCTCTTCCTCGAAGCGATTGAAGTGCTGAAGCTCTTCTTCAGGAGTATAAGCCAATTCTGAAGATTGAGAGATAGAGCGGGCAGCAGCTGAGCTCAACCCCACTGTTCTGAGCCCTGAGACTGTCGAAGGTACTCCTCGAACTTCCATCAGCAAGGGCTGTTGCCATAGCGAACAGCAACGTGATGACGGTGCAAAGCATTGGAGGATACTCGGTAGCAAAGAGTACTTGCTGCTCGAAATCATAGTCGCTAACACGAGTCGGGGAGATAGTGAAGACCTCTTTCTCAGTCTATTCAGGGCACGAATGATTAGCTTTGCACGAGATTTGCCCACACGTGCATACGGATAATCCGTGACAGATTGGTACCGTCACGGATATCAATCCCTGTCGACTATCAATTTGATAGTCGATCTTTCATGACAATTGATACTATGAACTTGCTTGTGAAGAGAGTGAGCTATACATATGAGATGAGATGCGACGTTTGTTGCTTAGTCGTGACTCATAGTCGACAGCACTAGTCCGGGGGAGTTCCAAAGATTCCTGTCTTGATCTACTTGGGGTAATGAATGATTACCTATACACACGTGCGGTCACCGCACTGCGGTGGCCATTTTACCCATCGACGATGGGCCATCGTGGGCGCCCGTCGCGCACAATGGGTAGAAGCAGCAACAGTCCCGCAAACTAGTTTTGCGTTACCGACTTGGACAACGCCCAGAAGGCGCTTAACCAACAGAGGTCTTCAGCCAGACGAAAAGTTCATCTAAAGCACACAGTCTCATCTTCACCAAGCACTTGTACTTCAGTCTGCTGAGCAGACTTTTTTGAGAGCAGACTCTGCTCTCAAAAAATAACCCGTAACGGTGTCGAAAAGACTTAGCGAACAGAGCTTCATAGTATGGAGTCCATACAGATGGGTGCGACGAATGGGACCGATCGTGCACGTATCAGTGACACGGTATCACTATCGGTGTCGCGATATTGCGCGCGTGAAAAACACAAGACCCTTAGGGGGCCCTTGGAGTGGGGATCGACACATAGGCGTCTCTCGTGTGGGTCAGGTCCTACACTGCAGGTTGAAACTACTGTTATAGGATTGGCTTCATTCCTTTCTTTCCGACGCACAGGAGTCGTTGATATTATTGCCGAAAGCGTTGCCAATGCCTTGGTGAACGACGCGTGGTAAGGTTCCTCATGCAGAAAGCTGAATCTAGTTCTACTCCATCAGCATTATGACAATTTTGTGGTACTATTTCATGCATCATTGCAAACTCGTTCTTGTTCTTCCTCTTCTTGTTGTCTTTGCTGTTTGAGTGGTATTTTGCTGTTGCGTATGAGTGTCTCAGATGGTGGCTCAGCAAAGCTACGGTACCTATGCTCCTCCACCCTCGACTAGCTCTCACCCTGGTGATGATGTTGTCAGCCTCTGGCGAGCATCCCGAGGTGAGCATGGCCGTTTGCAAGCTGTGTGAGATCCTAGATCGTGACAGGTTGTCTCCACTGCTGCTGTTCATGCTGATCTGTTGGATGCACCTCTGCGACTGCCGCCTATAGGCTTTACCTCTCCTGACGATACGGCGGTAAATTTCAATGCTCGATCTTTCATCGATTCTCTGTTAAGGTGTCGATAGAACCGGCCGCATCGCACTTCTTCATCAAACTCATTTCTATTATCGTCGTAAGTGAAAAAGGCGATTTCGAATAGGGATCTTCTAGCCTAGCAGATGCTTATCACAATATCCCAGTTAACCCTTTTCGGGTGGTCGGCAACTCAACTGTTCT